ATTGGTGGGGACATTTCAATGGTCGGAGGATATTGGTGGGGACACATCCCCTCCGTCCACCCTAAATCTACGCCCCTGAGTCAAAGTACATTTCAGTGACGGAATCAATTTTTTTTATCAGCGTCTTTTGTGTTTTCATTGCAATAAAAACAATGTAGGCTATCAGTTCTTGTCCAGCATTGTCATGTAAGGAGCAAATAAAATATTGTAAAATAAAAAATAAAAAAGACAGAAGAATAAAACATATCTGACTTTGCATGGTAATTTTCCATATGTTCTGCATTTCTGTTCTGATTTTGACACATCAATCTACTACTACGTAAGTCTTTCCCTATCGAATAATTTTTGAACAATGCAAATATGCCTGCTTTTCATCTTGAAATCTTCATGTCTTTCAAAAAGACATCTGGAGGAGTATTTTTAGCACGAGCTTAAAGGAAGACACGCCAAGAACTATTCAAAACATTAACACGCGACCTTTAACGCGTAAACAAATGACAGGTTTAATTTTCAAACCGCGGCTGGACGCGAGTAATAATAGGCTAGATGATATTATTACAATCACGTTAGGAGTTGAGAAATCATGCTATCCCAGGATATTCTCCTTTGTGTTTGTCCCGGACAGGACAACTGAGGACAATTGAAGTCAAATTTCAATCTGTGTAAAAAAGAAACATTTGAAAAGAAAGAGAAAAACTCCATGAAAACATTCTGGCTCAGTAACAGTTCATGCTGCATGAGTAACTAACTAATTACCTCGGTCAGAGTCTGCGGTTGAGGGACCTGGAGCGTCTCCCAGTCTGCACGGGGCACTGGTCCTGGATATGCCAGTTACGTAACTACCATGTGCATACCAACTTTATTTTTACGAACTTTGGTTTTCAGTTGTGTTTTTCGAATCAGAATTAATTGTTTTTAAATGTTTTATGTTCTTTTGATTTTTTTTTCATATTTTATATCCATATAATTCTACGCATTTTTTGTAAACCATTATGAATGACCTTTTGTCTTTGAAAATGTGCAATACAAATAAACTTGACTTGACTTATGTTATTCACCAGAACAAATAAATACAAACTTGTGAATAATGAATTACTATAGGAAAAATTAGGCCTACATGGTAATTTAACTAAATGAATTTCTGCAGCTAAAACAATGCTATTGCACTTCCTTATTACATAAAATATTTTAAGATAACATTAGCTAAAGGCCAAATTTATTGCATTTATTTTAAACCTTCACTTCCCTATAGCTACCCACTCGTTCTGTTTTCATGGTGGTGTACTGGATTTACCCAGACAATGTGCTTATTCACTTCAAAGGTTGATTTACGCTGCTAGATAGCTGCGTACGTACTCTACACTGAAGGCTACGGCGTAACTCCCCGGCAATGTGACTACAGGCGTCAGGACTACGGAGTTCGCTGCGGCGTAGATTACGCGCTACCTACAGCGTAGATTCTGTTGCAGATGTATAAATTAGACTTAAGGGTAGGTACCCAAATACAGTTTTAGCATGTAGACTCAGACACAGAAGGGGCAGATGGAACATGTGACCCCCGTGAGTTCATTTCGTCAAGTTGGGGTGTTAGATCTGCAAGATCTGCTTACCTCTGTAATTTTTTTGCAATCACCCTATAGATGTTACTCTATGGGTAACAGACCTGCTATGCAACAATGACGAAGTTCAGTATTTCATTTATCCTCTCCCGTCCTCTTTGGTAATAAAACATCTTATGTAATTGTTCCCTGTCTTATGGGTTACCTGGATTTGTTACATCTTAACACCAAGTCATGGCCGGAGCTGCATTCGATGATAATTAACCTTCACGCCTCCCTTTTCTTGGTAATGAAGGAATAGATGGTTAAACCCTCATTAAGGTTGACCCTTGCCATTCATAACTTAATTAAAAGCTGTCTGACAAGGCTCTCCGGATTCAGAGCACTTACAGCCAAGAAGCAATATCGAGAAATGAAGGGAACTCCGATGCATGGCAAAATTAGGGATTATGACGAAATAACATCATTCATTGGAACGTGGGGACCTTTCCAGTGTCTGATTTTATTTTCACTGGTGGCCAGTATTTTGCCGAATGGGTTCATCTGCATGTACATTGTGTTTGTAGGTGACAGCCCGCATCACGAGTGTCTGATTCCCGAAACCTACAACATCAGCGAGGCTTGGCGACGCGCGATCGTTCCCGTGGTGATGCAGGATGGCGAGCGACGGCGTAGCTCCTGTACCATCTACAGCCTCGCGGCCGTCAGCAACTTCTCCCGACTTGGCTACGTTCCAGATGTGGACGTCGACGTTAGCGAGATAGAGCAGGAGAGCTGCAGGAACGGCTGGAAATACAGCAATGAGACTTACCAGTCGACCATCGTCACTGAAGTAAGTACCTTTTTTCATGTATATATTGTCGCTGTCCGATGAAGAAAGTGTATCTCCAAAAGTCATCAAAAAAGGGTCGTAGTTGATTTTCATCAGACAGCGATGATATACTTTTACATTTTTTCATCATCTCAATCATGGCAATTAGCTTAAATCCCGCCTCGATTGCAGTGGGACCTGGTGTGTGACGATGAGTTCAAAAGGCCCTTGACGACTTCAATCTACTTCCTGGGTGTGATGGTGGGGACATTCATCTCCGGCCATCTATCTGACAGGTTCCTGTGTGCTTGGTTCACACTGTACATTTACGTTTTACATATTTGACAGACACTTTTGTCCAAAGCGATGTACAGGTGAGGAAAATAGCACATTACAAACATACATGCAATTAAAGAGTCAACTAGGCATAAGAAGAGCTAGGCTGAGATTCCAGTGAAAGCTTAGCAGGAACTACACAACATCTTCTAACAAAGCAAGAACCTAATTAGAGTGTTCTAGGACAAGTGGAACCTAAGAGCATTCAGGGAACGTAAAGAGGGATCGGGCTAGTAGAGGAATTAATGGAACAAATGGGTCTTTAGGCATTTCTTGAAGATGGAGAAGGTGTTTGATGACTAGGCATAGACATTTTGGCAGAAGGTGGGGGGTTATGGAGGGAGGTGCAGGTCTTGGTGGCATTCTACCCAAAACAACTAGTAGAGGGAGGAACACCAATAACAGACCTAGCAGGTATAGCGTAGAGATTTATGCTGCCAAACTGGCCAATCAGAATTGGTTGCATAATTGACTCGGGAATTGCAACGCTGTATCCCTTCTCAGGTATGGTCGGAGACCACTGCTCTTCGCAGTAATGATCATGCAGATGGTCACCATCTCCATCCAGATCTTCTCGCCTAGCTGGGAGGCCTTCAGCGCCATCTTCTTCTTCGTCGGCCTTGGTGGATTCTCCAACTATTTGATAGCCTACGTGTTGGGTCTGTAGCACCCCTGCTGCCTTGTAACACTCCTATTTCTATGGCAGCTTTTGCCAATCTATTTCCTTCTATGAATTACTCGGCATGAGTCAAAAAAAAAAAAGTAAATTGCTGTTTGTGTTTGTTTTAGTTCTTAACCAGGAAAATTTGTTTAAAATGCACGTGTCTTCTGAATAGTGGACTTGCGTAAGAACAGGTGGATGTTCTTAAGGTAAAGTCCAGAAGGTAAAAAAATGTACCGATTTAGTTTCAAACTACCAGATGAGCGTAAATATGCAGAGTCACAGAGTACGCTACAGGTTGGTTGAAACGAAATCTTGGTCTGGATTTTTACCTTCTGGACCTGGACTATCCACTTCGGCATAAGAACTATCTGTTTTAAACATTTCTGGTGGCAATCAAGTTCTCCTTGGCATTACAGCACATCCTGTATAGAGGCATGTTAAAGAATCAATGAATGACTGTAGGATTGTAATGATTCATTATGTAATAACACCACATACTGTGTCAATGCGGATACCCATTTTGGTTGTTTATTACAAAATGCGCAGTATTACATTTTTCTCATTAAAAACTGTAACTCCCGCATTTTGTAATAACCACTGCAATATGTATTAATTTATTACAGAATGCAGGGAAATTCAATATATATATTGTGTCTAAATTGTCTATTATAAAATGTGACAGATTATTACAAAATACTGGTGGTATTACATAATGAAGTGAATATTTGTTACATAAGGTGTTATTATTACATAATGTGTTGTTACAGGGATTTACTTTGGTGAATATGATGCACACCACAGGCTCTGAGATCCTGAGTCCACAGACCCGGGTGGTCTTCTGCTCCCTGGGGGTCTTCCTGAGCTCCAGTCTGGGCTACATGGCGATGCCCCTGGCAGGGTACTTCATCCGCAGCTGGAGACTGCTGCTGGTGGCCATGGCTGCTTCCGGAATTCTCTATATCCCCCTGTGGTGGTAGGTGTGCTGGACGGAGCCAGCCGCCTCCAGCTTTCTCACGACAGACTGTGGTGCATCGCTGTACGGAGTGTTCCGGAACATTAGACCTAGCTGCAAGTAATTTGTTTAGCAGAGTCTTTTTTGAAAAGCAATGTACGGTTTAGGTTTAGGGTCAGACAGTCCCTGGAGTGATTGGGGGTTAGGAGCCCTGCTCGGGTGCCCAGTGGTGACATCACTTTGCTGATCCTCAGACTCAAACTGACAGCTTCCAATCATACACACCAGCCCCAAAAGTGACTCTGGTGGGACTCGAACCCACAACCTTTGAATCGCCCCTCAAGCATTTGACTAGAAGTCCAATGCGCTATCCATTGCGCCACAGAGCCACTGTGGTTTTTGCTTAAGAGGAATCATGGGAACTGATTTTTGTGTTTAAATAGGTTTTTTTCTGATTATTTCCTGAAATTCAGCTCCTGGACTTGGAAACAGGTGGGGGGGAGGTGGGTATGTTGGCACAGTGATACAGTGGTTAGTACTGTTGCCTCACAGCCCTAGAACCAGGGTTTGAGTCCCCACCATGACGTGTATATGGAGTTTATATGTTCCGTCTGTGTCGTTGTGGGGCTTCCACCCCACAGTCCGCAAATAGGTTAAGATACCAAATTCCCAGTAGTCCTGAATGTGTGTGACGGTGCCCTGTGATGGTACCCTTTCTACAGCCTTGTACCTGTAGACTCTGGGATAGGCTCTAGACCTTCTGCAACCCTGAATAGGACAAGCAGTTACAGAAAATCGATGGATGTATTGGACAGACTTGGAAATAGCCTATGTAAACGCACTAAAATGATTGACCCCTGTATTTTCATTAACATTTGGAACTACTGATTAAAAATGGTCTGTATTACATTTCCAGCCAGTGGCGTGTAGTTAATGCACCATCACAGCATTAAGGAGTCAGTGTGTGTTCCTCAGGATCGTTCCAGAGTCTCCTCGCTGGCTACTCTCCCAAGGACGGGTACGAGAGGCTGAGGCAATCCTGCGAGACGCTGCCAGGAGGAACGGGGTTATGGCACCGCCGGTCATCTTCACCCAGACGGAGGTGAGTGCCCAGAAATTACGTTACTGCTTGATCTCTGTACCAATAGCGTGTTCTCTTATGACTGGGGCAGGCGGTGCCCAGGTTATGAATAAGATCCACTCCTTAAGTCTGTCTTTACGTTGAATCTGTAGATAAGTCGGAACAATAATAATACGGTACATAATAATAATAATATAGTAATAATAAAAGTAACTACATACAGTACTGTACCGTACCTCAAATATCACATTCGTTATTAACCATTGTATTTTACGTGAATTTTTAATATACAGACGCTCCTCTTCTTACGAACGAGATATATTACGAACGGCCATTCGTAACTTGAAATGTTCGTAAGTCGTCATTCAACATCATTTTAAGGGTATACGCAAGTACAAAGAACTAGGATGCTGGGAGTTACGCACGCTACGCTGCTTCGTGGCGGGAGTAGCGGCCAGAAGTCGTGCTAGGCGGAACTGGCGAGCAGGAAAAAAAATTGATGTTGCGGACCGGAAATGGGAGCCCAAGGAACACAATTTGGACTTACAGTCCTCTTTGTTTATATGTCTCAAAGTTCGTAAGTTGAAAGTTCGTAAGTAGAGGAGTGTCTGTAATAGGCTTTAGGACAGTATGTTCCTAAGTACATCCTGTACAGCCTGTGCAAGAGTTTCAGGATTATGTCATTCTAATTGAGAATGTTCTTTCAGGATTATGTCATTCTAATGAGGATGTTCTTATTTGTTTGTTTAAACAAAGGTGAACATGATAGTTACTAAAACAAAGGACATTTCCTTACTCTAAAGGTTAATGTGTCTTGCAGGCATGTCTAACTTCTCCTGGAGTCACATCAGTCTTTCTCAACCCGGGCCTCAGGGACCCCCTGACAGACCACATTTTTGCTCCCTCCCAGCTCCCAGCCAATCAAGAACACCGAATACCTGGTAAGGGTGTGTTTGGAGTTGGGTGGGAGCAAAAATGTGAACTGTCTGGGGGTCCCACGGAACTGAGTTGAGAAACGTTTCTCTACATGTGCCAAGAAGCTTCTAACAAAAACACCCGCCTTCAATCTGGCCATTTTGAGTCCTTCACTGCAAAATATCAGTGCTGCTTCAGTGGAGTTCATCAGTGACTGTTACAGTACTAACATTGTATGGACATAAGTACTGGCCGGCACAGAGCCCTGACCTCAACCCCATTGAACATCTTTGGGATGAAATAGAATGGGAGATTGTGAGCCAGGCCTTCACGTCCAACGTTGGGCCTGACCTCACAAATGCTCTTCTGGGTGAATGGGCAAAAATTCCCACAGATACACTCCAGAATCTTGTGGAAAGCCTCCCCAGAAGAGTGGCAGCTGTTATAGCTGCAAAGGGGGGACCAGCTCCATATTGATGCCTATGGATTTAGAATGGGACGTCTTAAAAGTTCCTGTAGCTGTAATGGGCAGGTGTTCCAGTACTTTCGTCCATACAGGGTATGTTACCGTGCACTCATGGTGCTGCTGCTTTCCTAACAGCTGGAGTACATGGTCTCTGTGAGAAACAGGAGACACAGCATCCTGGATATCGCGAAGAGCAGTCATGCTGTCTCCATCACAGTCCTGTGCTCTTTGCTGTGGTGAGTGACCTCGCCTGCAGAAGGTCAGATCTGCAGAAGTACACTCTCCTTCCAAGATCGTAGTAGGAAATATGATGGGAGATCTGGTGACCCTAGCAACAGGCCCCCCTTGGTAGATTTTGCTGACTGGGGGGGGTCCACTGAGTTTGCCAAATGGTGATTGAAGCATCAAGGGATGGTTCAAACTCACGCAATAATTTACAAGGGGGGGGGGGCTCAATCTATTCTACATAACAATTCAGCCAAAAGTTACTGACTGGTGGCTCACTTTTTGGAAACAGGGATGACATTCATTAAGTAAATGGCGGCGTTTTGTTTTTTTTGTGTTCGTTTTTATTTTTATTGTCACCAAAGGTTAGATTTGTTTGTTCATAGAAGTTGGTGAGGACAACGCTATTGTCATTTAGGCTCTGATACGTAAATAAAAACATATAATCGATGTATGGTGCACTTTTTTATTTTCATGACTGGACCGCATCAGTGGTCCCCTAAAATGTGTTCACTGTTTTGGAAGGACGGTCATCATTCTGGGATACCAAGCCCTCGTCCTAAACACCTCCAACCTCCACGGGAACCCATACCTCAACTGCTTCCTGTCAGGGATCGTCGAGGTTCCTGCTAACTTAGTTGCTATGATCATGCTGAAATACTACTCCAGACACTTCTGCCAGTCTTCTACCTTACTCCTAGGGGGCACCATAATCCTCCTGATTCGCTTCAGCCCTGCAGGTAAAGCTTGCCTGGGATGCAATGAATCCCGTTAGGTCCAGCTTGGGTGGTCTGTGCTTTTCGTGAGCCTGGAATGACAGCTATACCCCCCCATTCTCCACCTCCTCCCCTTTCCCTCCACCGTGAGGACGCAGGAGTGATGATCTTCCTGGAGATGCTGGGGAAGTTCTGCATCACCGCGGCGGTTTGTGTCTCTTACACGTTCACCGCCGAGCTGCTACCCACCGTGCTGAGGAACACGGTGATGGGGATCTGCTCCACTTCGGCCCGCGTCGGAAGCATCCTGTCACCCTTCATCATACACCTCGGTAAGGCGACTTCAACATGAGCCTCAATTAATGTGCCATTCTAAACAAAAACGTACAGCAAAGGATTCTGGGTGCCACTATGGAATCTTGTTAAGATTAAAAGGTACTAACAGCTAGAAGAGTTTTGAATATATGTTAGAAAAAGTGTCTCAGGTTGGTTTTTATATCTATGCTGGAATTTTTTGTACCATGGATCTGAAATATAACTCTGGAAAAAAATAAAAGACCACAGCAAAATTTTCAGTGTCACTTGTTACTCTATTTATGAGTAACTGGCTGTGTAAAATGCACATTTTTTTTACAAACTCCAGCCAGCCTCTTCCCTGTTTCTCATTAATGAAGGACTTCTTCCTTACTTTATGTTGCTTAATGGGACTGCAATCCTGCTTCTAGAAGCCTGTTACGAAATTGTCCTAGCAGTGCACTTCACGCCACTTAACGTCTCCCATTCTTTTCGAAGGTCACTTGAGGTCATCCTCTGATTTATGAGGCTCTGTCGGATAAGCTAACGGTCATCTCTGGCATTAGAAAGTCGCTTCCTCCCTTTTACCTGACTGGTGTCTGGACCTTCCCAGTGTCTCCTGCTTCCCCTTGTTCTCACGTATTGCTCTCTTAGAAACTTTAAGCCTGGAATCAGCTTGCCTCGCAGCGTAACCTCCTGCCAGCAGAACCAGGATTAAACCAGGATTTTAAAATGCAGATTAAAAAAAAAAATTTGGAGTGATCTCCTAATTTGTTCCAGAGCTGTATTTGAAATAGCTATATGACTCCGGTAAAGGAAATACAATTTATGTATACAATTAACTTCAGCCTAGTGCGTAACAATGGAAAGCTTGTGTGTGATACGTAGATGCATCCAATGAATCATTATAAAAATCTACAGTGTTCTAGTGAGAGCGCCATGCTGTAATTTGTGCCACATAAATGGAAGATATGGCGTTGACCTTGACAGGAAACCATTACAAGCCCCTGCCCTACATCCTGATTGGGGGGGTCACTCTGCTGGCTGGCCTGCTCTGCCTCCTGCTTCCTGAGAGCTTTGGCAAGCCCCTCCCAGAGACGACAGAGCAGATGCAGGGTCTCAGAGGGTGAGCAGACAAGCCATGTGAATCGAATGTTCTTCCCCACAGTGTTGTTATTCATTAAAGAGCATCTTCCCTCCCGAGAGGAAATGGAGCCCAGTAGCCAGCAGACCTTGTCACAAACTGGTTAAGAGCAGATTCCAGTCTGTATGAAGTGGCTTTACATGAAGTAACTCTCCTAAGAAGCAAAGCCACACCGACTTAAAGTTAGATCATACTCTGTTTCGAGTTTTCGATCAAGAAAGCATCTATCATGGGCTTATATTTTGGCTTACTTTAGCAAATTAAAAACATTCGCGATGCTAGTGTGGTATAACTGCTGTTTTTAAAGCAAACGACTGGTTTAGCGTTACAAAATCCAGCGTTTCTAACGTAGGGCGTCAAACAAACTTTTTTGAAAACAAATGGAAAAGTACCAGAATGCTTCTGGAAATTTCTGCTGGAATTTCCCCTCAGAAGCATGGGTGACGATATTAACCTGGAATGAAAAAAAACCCAGTAATAAAAATGGAATAAAAACAAGCATGATACAGGTTCCCCCCCCCACAATTAAGTGACTTGAGTGCAATTGTATTGTTTCATACATTTTAATTCAAATAAATTTTTTTTTTATGTTTTCTGTAACAATGGATTGTAATATATTGTTTTGCATACCCACAGGTTAGGAAAAAAGAAGTTACAAATATCTGTAGCCACGGAAGGCCGAAGCCTTGTCCTGAAAGAAGCAAAGTTCTAATGCAGCAATAGTTGGTGTTAGCAGAGTACAGTAATACGGGTCATAACTGTATATTCGTTTTCCTTAGAAAGTTTGTTTTTCTAATGTAAATGTATCACCTCTGGTCTTTTGGACCCTTATTTTTCCAAACAAATTACTGTAAACAAGTTGTTTCATCACTTATGGAATCTCTATAGCGGCACATATAAACGACCGTTTCTGTCTCTGTAAAAATGACATCACGACGGCTTGTTGTCGCTGGCAACAATTAATTTAGTTACATCAAAACATACTGGGATGTGTGGTAACGGCAGAGCGCTGGGTGATATTTTGTGTTTTCGTGGTGATTGATCACCAGCCACACGATCAGGGTTTTCATTCAGTGAAACCCAGGTGGCTCTGATTAGAATGATAGACTTTTTAGAGTTTTCAAATGTGGTTAGCTGGTGGACATGAAAGACGTGTTATTGGGGGAGAGGACATATTGTGAGCAATTTCTCTTTGTAGTGTGTGGTCGAATTTAGGGTTATTTTAGTTCCCAGCCATTTTTCAGTTCAAAGGGGTCGTGACCTGCGTTTTGGAAATAGTCCTTTGTTTGATTACACTCTGCTGTGATTCTTCTCTTCTCTGTGTTTTGGACAGAGCTCTCCTCCACCATTTAGGCTGGATTTTTGATATATCCCTCCGAATGTATGTGATGTGTTCCAAATAAAAGTGATAAAAGCTGATTTTCCACCATCTTGTATGTTCTTCACGATAATAACCTAGACAAATAACGTCCACTTAAGTTAATCCCGAGTTTTATACCAATGATGGATCACAATCTATCAGTGGTTAAAATTTAGGCTTACTTTAGCTAATGTAAATAGGTAGAAGAAGCTGTTTTTTAATCTATTCGTTTTTGTCCTAATTGTTCAGTATCTTTTTCCAGAGGGCAGTGTGGAGAGCAGATGATGTCCAGAGTGGGTGGAATCCTTTGAGATGGAACTGGCTTTCTCTGAGGGAGGGTTCTGTAGCACCGATTGCACGCTCTGCTGCTCTCACTGCCTGTCAATTCCACCACCAGCTCCACTTCCTAAATTAGTTAAATCATCGGAAGAGGTATTTAGTAGACATGTTATGCTGGTGGTCGAGTCAACAAACACGTGGCTGTATTAGATGGTCGCTGCAAATCCTGGAGTGATTTTAGGGGAGTTTTTGAAATGGTTAAGCTGACACACTTTGATAGACATGAAATTATAGCTTTACACCAATATGTAGATCACTTAAACATCATTTTCTTTGCCTGCAGCTTTTGTTCTATACGGTTTATACATTTTTGAAGTCGTTAATATACCCCGCTTTTGTATTGAGGCCTGCGCTGATAAATGTCTGGCCTGAGCCGGATCAGGCGTGTGTACGGAACCTTTTGGGTACGCGAAGTGATCCCAGGATGAACCAGCAGACTTCGGCTCCTCGCCGGATCCTCGAGATGAGTGGACCTTCCTGTCTCTCCCTCTGGGCCAAGTTTACTGGAAATGGGGATTAAGTGTGTAAATGTTCCTTTGGCAGGTCTGCATGGCAGTAAGAGCCACAGATCACTTAGAACATGTCATTATGTCATTATGAGCAGAGACATCATTGTTTTGTTAAGGTTTTAATACAGGTCATGTTTGAAGGGATTTGCAATGCAGACTTTGTAGGTCTTTGGACTTGGAAGTCCTACAGTCTTTGTCTGTTTATGTCAGTTCTCACCCACTTGACCCACGTTTAATACTGTGGAATTTCATATTGCCCAACCGGACTGGCTTCCTGGCCAGTGTGGGTCCTGGTCCTGGGGGCCCGGTGCTGGGTGGGGTGGGCGGCCCCATCGTTCGGCATCCCGGGGCAGTGTGGGGCAGCCCCCTGCTGGCCGGGCGGGGGCAGGGATGGGAATCGGTGAGGGGTCGGTTAGGGTCCCGGCCCCTCAGAAGGGGCCCATGCCTTTCGTCCCCCCGTTTCTCCTACACACACCACAATACACTAGGGTCTGG